ACTTATAGAGAATATAGAGAAGAAGTGCACAATGCTAATATTTTTTTTAAAATAATGCATAAAAGATACATTAAATCAATAAAGAAAACATTACACACACTACATACCATGTATTTGACGCACACACGCATGCATACTATTTATTGTTAAACTTTTGTTCTTGACATCTGTTGTCAAATTGAGAATAGATTATATATTTTTTGCCTTTGTTAATATTTTTTATAATATAGTCTTGGCGAAATTTGTGATTACAGAAGTATAAAATACAATCATAATAGTGTACAAACTTACAATTCCAATTAATTATAGTCGAATTTCGACTACTGCGGGACCACTAGTTTAAATTAAAGCCTAGTTATATAATTACTTCGTTAATTAATGAAATGAATGAGAATTAATTAATTAATGAAAGCACTTGTTCTAACGAAAACTCTGATATCTAAACAGAGTAGATGTGGCTACGCTGTCTAAACACTACTGCATTTAAGTTTGTCGTGGATAACGACTTTTAATAATATTAAGCCGGTGGTTTTGACTATTATTTTAAATGATGAAATGTTATTTTGATAAATATCACAAAAATGTAGGGTAGACTCCGTAACGCCACAGTATAAAATGGCGGTACGTACACAAAGTCGTGGCATTCCGTGTCAGACAGTCATTCCGTCCGTCTCAGTCAGTGAGTCTCTGACAGTCAGTCAGTCAGTCAGTCGGTCTGTCAGTATGTGGAACGAAACTGTCGGTTTACCCTGTCATTGTGAAAGTTGTGTGTGTTGAGTTTCAATAATTATTATTGAAAAGTTTTATTGACTAAACTGAGTTCAATCGAATACGAGCGATGACGGAAACTACCGCTTAGCCATCCCTGGCGCCTGCTGACAAGTTTGTAGTTACTCATACTTAAAGATTTAGATACATTTCAAAACGATTCGATTTTCTGTTCTGCCTTATTGAAATTTAGAAGAATCGACTTTCCAAATTTTTTCGATAGATAACAATTAAGGTCCTCAATTAAGCCCACAAATAAAAAAGGAAATGAATATATTCAGGACAGAAAATTGTGTGTGTTTTATAAAATATTTTAAAAATATATAAATCCCCAGACTTCGTTATTAAGTACTACACAAAACAGGATAAAGAATTGGTTAATAAGCTTCGCCTCTTTATATGTATATGGACACAAAGATTGAAGGATAAGCAATGTTTAAAATATTTTCTCACTACAAAATTATGTTTTGTATATTTGACGACCGTTTGGTGTAGTGGTAAGTGACATGGTCACTACACAAGGGAGTCGCGGGTTCGAATCCCGCCAAGGGAAGATATTTGTGTGATAAATATAAATGTCTTTTCCAGGGTTATGGATGTATATTAAATATATGTATGTGTATAACAAAAATCTTACATTTATTTCCGTTATCTGGTACCTGTAACACAAGTGCTTTACGAACTTATCATAGGACCAGTTAACGTGACGTGATTGTTAGTAAATATTTATTTATTTATTTATATTTATTTATTTATGTTTTGTTGTTTGATTTTTGTTTATTGCTTAGAAGGGTGGACAAGCTGGGACTTTGCTAAAAAATACATTAAATCAATAAAAAAAACTTTACACACACTATTATGTATTTGACACCTACACTTATATATATATATTACGAGTAGTCGTATGTTGTGAGCTGGCCACTGAGAGATTTTACGTTTAGATGGCACTAGTTTCCAATAAAAATGAATGCAATAAGAAATACTTCGGTAATCAATTAAACTTTTGAGCATCCAATGTACATGCCCTCACAAGTTATTATCACAACGCTCTTGTAGTTCGATGAGGAGAAATTTATTTTAGTGGGTACCTACCGGCAGAGAATTTTCTCACTTTCTCTAAAAACAAATCATGTACGTATGTATGTATGAATGTAATCACGATACAGGTAAATTTATAATACTATACATCTATAATTATTGATATTGGAAGTGCTCTTAATCACTTGCTTGTCTTCTAGTGCAAATATAGAAAAAAGTCGTTAGAAAATTAACGAGTAAAATTCTAAATACAAAAGCTCGAGAAGAAATACGTGCTGATAAGGATATCGTTTCCTGTCCACATACTTCAACGTTGCACTCGCCGGTTAATGGAAAACGAACTTTCGGCTTCAACCAGGAAGGCTTATTTGGTAATTTCAAAATTCGCTGGACATAGTAGCATTAAGGTTATGAATTCAATTGCATTACCAGATGGACCGACGACCTAGTGAAAATTGCTGGGTCACGTTGGATACGTGGATGCGTGGATCACGTTGGATACGTTGGATATGTGGTAATGGGCACTGGAGATCGATTGGAGAGGCCTAAGTCCAGCAGTGGACAGTAATAGGCGGAGATAATGATGATGATGATGATGATGATGTCCTAATGAATAACCACTTTATGTTATATCAAATTATTCTAGAATTAGATGTATTGAGGTTAGGATTACTGGAACTACTCACACAGGTTGAATGCGAAGGTGAATATAAAACGGCCGTATGCTGATTTGCCTACAACGGCAAAAAAACTGCTTACCAGACTCTATAAGACTCTGCCTTTTTCCATCTTGAGGCATGACATCTCAGTCTCAATTGTATTGTTATAATAGCTACCCCTCCCTTCAAATCGGAACGAAATATGGCTTCTTGTCAGGAATAGTCGCCCTACCGCCAGTAATGGAAAAACTTTTATCGTTTAATTTCGCGTTTATTATTCTCATTTCAATATTCCCAACGCTTCGATTAGTTAACTGTTTTTGTGGTGACGAGTAACTAAAGTTTTACTGGTGATATTTGAATATTGTTTTACCTAACGTCTAATCTACATACAAAAGTCATACATTGATGTATGTTCCGTATGTATGTAACGGCTACACCAATTCTGATGAAATTTTCAGAATTTCTAAATTTCAGATTAGTTGAACCTTTGACTTCACATTGTATTAAATTACTCTATGAATTAAGCAATAGTTGTATTATATCAATTTGCGTGCTTAAGTACTCTGTGATGGAAGAAGGAAATACAAAAAAAAACACATTTTAACCATGCAACCACAATAAGAACCCCAATTTTAGCATCAGAAAAACAATACAGAAAACAATATATTATGTAGGTAGGTTACAAAAAATTCCGAGAAAACACGTATATCATCTATATAAACTTGTTTACTTTTAGTCACGGATACTTAGGCTCGAAACTTTACGTTAAGTTCTCATAGTAAGCAACCACGTATTCCCAAGGACGATATAATGTTGTTGATTTCATTAGGAGGGCTTAAGATTACAAGCCTTTGTTCCACGTCCTTAACTATTTCATTTTAGAATTACTTTGGTTAACTCTATAGCTGGGTATATGTAGACAATCACTAGCTTATCTAATATCTTTCTCCGTATTTATAGCTTCAAGAAAGGAAAATATGGGGCTAACGTGTAATATACTTTACAAAATCCCGGTAATCAATTCTCCATAATACACTTCCAGATAAAATTCAAATTTAACGCCTACTCAATCCAGCGAGTAATTCGGAAATAAAATTATTTTATTGCTATTTTATGCAAGACCTTATGCGGCATTACTCTCGTTTCTGATTTAAGGATATACTTCTAGCAGGGTTGGACCTTGTTTATATTAAATTTCCGGTGCTAAATAAGCAAATTTATTTTCACGCTTCCTAGTCGCATGATGATAGTGTAGAAAGATCTTATTTAGATTGGTTAGCCAATAAAAAGATCTTATGTCCCATATCCATAGAGTTTTACGATTAGTTGCCTTATTCCGTATTCCATAGGTTCTATTGTCCGTCTCTTCACGTACAGCAAACGCATGTCATTTAATAAATAATGTAAGTCAACTGTCCCATGTTTTAAATATTAACTAAGGCTTAGAAACTAGACACACTTTCAGGTCGTTCATAATCCCTTAATTAAGTAAAGGTCAGACCAGACTAAAGAAGTCTCATGACACCGAATTTTCAACGTCAACAGGTGTGTCACGATTTTGCACACAAAAACGGAGCTTCACGTAAATTTCGGTGGAAAATGAGGTACCGTAATTACACCTTTACGCTCCAAATACGCAGTTTCACGCCGCGTTGACATATTACGAGATTTAAATATTCTCTCTCCTAAAGAAACATGGTAGATCTGGGAATGGAAAGTTTATGTAAGTAACATTAGCTATATTTGCTTTGATTTTTTAAAATTATGTAGTGTTAAGGCGTTGCCAATGCCGCGGATAATAAGTTTTTTTATTGACCCACAGGTAAACGACCTGATCACTATTTCAACGTCCCTCGTAGACTTCAGCAATGCCAGGAGCATAGCCAAGCTGCTACCTACCCTTCAGAATTCTTTTCAAGCTTAGTTTAAAATGTGTAGGAATTCTCAGAATATCTCTTGTTTTCTCAAATAACTAATATTTTCTTAACAATTCTTCAGCTTCATATACAAGTTTTTTTTGTAAGGCTGCATATCTTGAAATATTCTTTGATTAACTATACGGTCTAACCATAAATCCGGTTACAACTATAGTTGAATTTTGAATTTGTCACTCTCATGTGAATATTTTGTTTTCTAATTTTAGACGGACAATTTTATTTAAATCTTCTTCTGAGATTGAAATTGGAGTGGGATGACAAAGAAAACAGAATAGCATTTGGTTGTCGTTGATGGTGGTGGTAAGTCACCGGTGCCGGGCGGCACAATAACGAGTCCGTAATTGGATGGACAGTTTATTTCCAATCACAGATAGTATAGCAATATTAAGAAGGAGAAATTACGGAGTACAGAAGGCACAGATAAAGCGGTAGCAAGTTCAAACACAATAATACAAAATAGATGAAAGCCATAAATCGTAACGAAGCAAAAGAGTACGCGTAAGTCGGGTTTGATCAACGCTACGCTAAGACTGTGTCTCTCCTCGCCGCCGGGCGGCACAATGTGCCGCCCGGCACCGGTGACTTACCACCACCATCAACGACAACCAAACTGGTGACCCCGACGTGATGATGAGTGGCTGCGTTGTCGTTGACGTCCAAGTTCGCGCCCGCGCTCCTGCGGCCGCGGTTGATGATGCACCTGCGTCATCAGGGCGCTGACTTGCCGCGTCAGCTCCGCTACTTGTTGGGACAGCCTGTCGATTTGTGATGACGATGATGATGATGACGTCACGGTTGCCGCGACGTGGTGTACTGGGGCTGCGATCTCGTGGACACAGTCGGCGAGCTCGGCGAGTGCGTCCAATGGAAGCGTCGACTGCGACGCGACGATCGGCTGCAACGTGGTTGGTAGCCGGCTGGTCCATATAGTCCGCAGGAAGTCCTCCGGGATCTCCGGTCCGGCGAGGTGTTGTAGGTGACGCAAGAATTGTGACGGTTTGCGGGTACCGAGCTGCTCGTGCGTCAATAGCTGCTTCACCTTGTTACTGCGGGACGCCGACAACCTTTTTATCAGCTCCTCTTTAAGCCGCTGGTAATCGGGAGGACCGGTGAGCACGTCTTCTACCTCGGCGGCATATTGGCGATCGAGGCTGGCCAATATATGATAAAATTTTGCCGTCTCGTCAGTCACTCGCATGATGGCAAATTGTCCTTCCACTAGCGCAAACCATATTTCGGGTTTTTCAGGCCAGAACGGTGGTATCCTGATGTGTGTTGAGGGTAGTTCTGTATTCGGGCACGCTGGCCCAACATAGCACGGTTCGCATTAAAGAAACCAAGTTTGGAGGCAAACGCAATTTTTGCAATTTTTTTAATTCGTGTTTTTTGCATTAATACTATTTATGAAAGACCGACTGCTTACGGAAAAATGAGGCAACCGCTTCTCTATTTCCGTCGATCTAAATCACTCAAACAAGTCAAGTAATGACGGAGGTCGAATAAAAATCACGAAAGTATTATATAAGTAATAAACTCTAACTATCCAAATATTCCCGTCATAAAACATGGAAGAAAAAAATTGTACGATTTATGGGGAAGGCCCATTCCGACGATTGACGTGTGCCCTTGGCCTGTGCCCTGCGTAATTGTCTACTGACGTCACAGGCTAAGCTTCTTGAAAGGATTTATTGTGTTCAACCTCCACTTGTGAAGTCAGGTTGGCATGGAAAACTTTAGCTTTGGTATATAGTTTAAGTTGGTAACTGTTCGATGCCAAAGTTCTTCGGATCATTCGTCCTCTTTTTTTTTATTGCTAGAGGGGTGGGCGAGTTCATAGACATATAACGTAAATGCCGCTACCCACCTTGAGATATGAGTTCTAAGGTCTCAGTATAGTTACGACGGCTGCCCCACCCTTCAAACCGAAACGAATTACTGCTTCACGGAAGAAATAGGCAGGGTGGTGGTACCTACTCGTGCGGACTCACAAGTGGTCACCAGTAATTACGCAAATTATAATTTTGCGGGTTTGATTTTTATTACAAATGTTATTCCTTGACCGGGTCCTCTTCTAAAGTTTAGGTAGATACAGACAGAGAAACGTGGAACACTAACTCACAGGTGCGCCCTCCTGATCACATAATAGAATGTAATATAAATAATTGTAATTTCATTTCAATATGGGCTTTATTAATTTATTATTATTATTATTTTTTACTAGATGTGGTCCTGGAGACGCTTGCTGAGGATAAAATGGACTGCTCACCACATAAATTTTTCCATCCTGAAAGAGCTCTAAATCAATCAAGAGCTTTCGTCGATTGAACAATTGCGAATCCTTAATATGTTTATACATATCATCCGTAACGAAAGCTCTTTGGAACGATTAATGGTTCAAGGAAAAGTAGACGGTCAACGTTCTCGCGGTCGATCACCCCTAAGATGGACAGACTTTATTAATTCATCTACGGAGAGTTCTCTTATTGAATGTACACGTACCGCCACAAACAGAGAGAGATGGAGAAGCCTCGCGAAAGCCGCAACCAAGCAATAATACAATACATTACCACGACCACTCCGCCAGGAGAGTACGACTGAGAAGAAGAATTCATTATTATATGGGTTTTATTAACCACCCACACGTGCTTTCGATACGCTTTCAAAGGAATCAAAGGAACTCGTAACTTCGAGAAAGCTCGAGAAGTACAACGCCATCTATTGTCAGATAGCGGAAACACACATCAAAGCAACTCGACTTGCCCAGAATATTCTCGAAATATCTAGACGTCGTTTTTTTTTTTTTTTTTTCTACCTATGCGATACCCTTGAGAGGCTATTTCAGCTTCACCCTAACGTTAGTAGGTGAGCTCGCGGGGCTCAACCGGAGAGTTGCTAACACTGACCCTAGCAAGACAGTGCTTCGCAGAATCTACCACCGGATCGGAAACGCGACCCACTAAGAAGATCCGGCGAGAAATTCAGTGGGCTCGTAGACGTCGTATCGACTATAAAAGCGTTGTAGAGATGGCACGACGGCAGTCAGAGTAATCGGAACTACTCGAAGCGAAACAGCGAACGGATCACCTGAAGCGAAGCGGAAGAAGTGAAATAAGAATTTTAAAGTGTTCTGTGAGTGTTCTAAGTATTGAATACAGTTCCAATTTATACTTCGGTAGAATTTTTATTTATCTAGAACCGCGTAACAATAATCTACATATTAATACGTGAAGCAAAAACTTTGTATCCCTTTTTAAGAAAATTGCGTGGACGGAGGAGTATGAAATTTTCCAGACTTATAGAGAATATAGAGAAGAAGTGCACAATCCTAATATTTTTTTAAAAGAATGTATAAAAGATACATTAAATCAATAAAGAAAACGTTAAACACACTACATACCATGTATTTGACGCACACACGCATGCATACTATTATCTATCTATCTCTTAGGTTAATGGCGTTTCCTTTTAGATTTCGCCAATGTCAAGTGTATATAATACTCTGCTTTCTATAGCGGGCTTCGTGAACGATATTCTCAAACTTTTGTTCTTGACGTTTGTTGTCAAATTGAGAATAGAATATGGTTTGTCTTTGTTAATATTTTTTATAGTGTAGTCTTGGCGAAATTTGTGATTATAGAAGTACAAAATACAATCATAATAGTGTATAAACTTACAATTCCAATTAATTATAGTCGAATTTCGACTACTGCGGGACCTCTAGTTATAGAAAAATATCCGAATTGTCAAATCGCCGGTTAACCTTACATTAAGATTCCGAAACACATCCCTCTTTGTATATCGGAGTCTTGTCTCGTTATGATTACAGATACGTTTACTAAGAAAAACTTTGTGTTATGTGTCGGTTCCACTGGCGAGTTTATCACGGCGTTATTTAGAACACAAAATCACTTACCAGAACAGACTATTTGTATGAACACGTATTGCCACGTACCATCCGGCTATGAAATGAGCTCCCCTCCACGGTGTTTCCCGAGCGCTATGACATGTCCTTCTTTAAAAGAGGCTTGTGGAGAGTATTAAGCGGTAGGTAGCGGCTTGGCTCTGCCCCTGACATTGCTGAAGTCCATGGGCGACAGTAAACACTCACCATCAGGTGGGCCGCATGTTCGTCTGACTACAAGGGCAAAAAAAGATAACTAATATAGTTTATTTTTAATGACAAGAACTCTTGGATTTTTACTGATGTGAGTAGCTATCGGAGCTCATAAACATCACAACGTGAATATTTCCATTGCCTTGAGCCACCTTGAGCCTGAGTTACCTTGAGCCACGAGTAAAATTTTTTTCGTGATAATTATTCTGATCACGGATTCTGGAATAGCTTGGGGGTTTTTGAAGATTATTTGATATATATTGCTATACACGTTTTTCCTTTATCGGGGTTTGAATAGAATCCTCCATGATAGACCGCATATTAACTGTAGCTCGGATTCTGCTAATATCCACGAACGACCCGATTTTGTTAGTTCGACAATTTGCTTGCCTTCGAAAACAAAAAAAATATGTTTTATTCCTGGGCATTCTTTGGCGCACGTAGAACATCTGCTTTATTTAACTAAAGTTATTTGTTCTGAGCTTACAAAACAAAAGCTTACGTTGTTTACTTTCGTTACAAACTTATTCTTATGAGTCTTGCGAAAATTGTCTTGCGGAGCTGAAAAAACTTTTTCAGCCTATTAGTACTGAAGGTTCTAATGAAGACCTTCATAATTATATTCAATTGTAAAATTCTGGAATATTCTTCGGGTGTTTTCGAGTTGAACGAGTAATTATTTACATTATATTATTCCCGATGTTTCGAATAGTTTACAGTTTTCGTAGGCACGGACGACTGAAGTGTTATTGGTCGACATTTTACTCGTAATATTATTCTCAGGTTCGGTGGAATGATGATCTGTGCAGGGTGGCTGGCAGGAACTGGATGAGAGAAGCCGAGGATTGTGCTCAGTGGCGAACGATTGGAGAGGCTATATACGTCCAGCAGTGGACTGCTATAGGCTGATGATGATGATGATTATTCTGTCCCTTAAATCCATTAAAAATTCCCGTGAGCTCACCTACCCGTCTGAGCGTAGCTGGAATAATCTCTCAGGCTACCAGCGAATAGGAAGGAGATTTTTTTTATCAATCGAAAGTCGATAAATTGTTCTTGCTCATTCTGGTTAGTTCGAGCCCGTAGAGGTAGACGCCAACGTCTTGTCATACTAAATACTACGACGACAGAATCTTGCATTGGGTAGGAAAACTATTATATATGTTGGAGGCGGTCATTAACTTGGTAGCTAAACGAAACGAAGCACTATTCCCGAGATATAGCAGCACGATTGCGGTATCGTCGGAACTCGGCTAACTTCGTGCTACGACAGAGCCTAGCTGAGGGAGGCGCGTAGACGCCATCACACTTACCAACCAGCCTTCTTGAAGAGCGGTGCCTCCGTCCTAACAACTGTCATTCATTTGCGTTTGCTAACGTCAAGAGAAGATTCCTAAATTGTTCTAAGACAACAAACGTGATTGGTGTACTCAATATTTCACTTAGCTCGATCGCCCTATTCGCCCCTACGACGTCTGACGATGGTGTTAATAATTGTGGCTTCTCCGACCTATAAAATAATTGAAAATTCGACTTAATGTGTCAATGTAAATAGCCGACGTTCAAAGCACGCGATTATGAACAACATACGGTGATGTGGTTAAGACGACCTGTGATCTGAGTGCTCAGGAGTTACAGCCTCAAATGACGTCCGAATGTGGATATCAAGAGCACATCAGTTTGGTCATACTTGACTCACTTTCGCGAATGACTGTGTATAATACTAGATGTACCCGTCCGCTACGCTGGGTATTTAAAATTAACATTACTATTTCTCACCCCCACAAAGATTCTCATCATTAATGCCCCCGAAACTGACGTAGGGAGTCCAGCACTCATATAAATAGTCTATCCGTTAAGTACATATTTTTTCTCCATGGATACCAAGTTTCAAGTCAATCGGATGCATAGTTCAGTAGTTATAACGGAACATCCGTAATAACTACTGAACTACTGCGTAATTACAATACATTTATGAAGTGCTGTGCTGCACAAATAAATTAAAATGGCATCTGCCCCTGGTGGCAAACGGTAAGCCCTGCTACCCTCTTCTACTTCTTCCCCTCATCCCTTTATGTGGAATC